TTCCCAGGCTTCTGAAAATGAGAGCAATGCGTTTGCCTAAGTCAGGTCTTCTGTGGGTGGTGAACCTGCAAGACGCCAAAAAAATGCAGTTTGTTTTTCCCCAGTCTAAATAAAATACATTTTTTCCCAGTGCTGCAGTGAGACACTCCCTGGACAAACAACTAATACTAAGCCCAGAGCTAAAAAAAAACAAACCCACAAAGAGGTGTGCAGCCCCATGACTGCAGTGGCATCTGGCTCCTTGTGCAACAGCAGTGAGAAAGCAGTTTAATTTAATGCAACTGGAGAGAGAAGGTAAATTACATTGACAGATGGCTGCCCAAAAATCTGTGGGACAAGTGTGGGGATGGATAAGGGCGCTGATGCTCTGTGGAAGGAGGATCTCACCCAGCCCCAGCCACGGCTTCTCTCCTCCAGTATGTTGTGGGTCCAGCCCACCACAGTGCATGTTGTCTCGAAGAGTGTCAGATTTGCAACCTGCCTGGATTTCTTCTTCTTGTGGCCGTCTCCATGGCTGCTGTTCGCCACAGCCATTGCATTTCAGCCAGCAACAATAATGATTCAAAATATTCTGCTTTCAGACAAGCTGGCTATGGAAAAAGAAAGGGGGAAAGCGAAAATTTCATAGCAGCCCAGCTGAGCTGGGGTGGAGGTTAGTAAAGAAAAGCCACCTTCAGTTCAAGTTTGGGCTGGCAGATCTTTTGCAAAGGGATTCCCAGTGATCCCATCCAGCCCGATACAGCAGGAGCAGGTTTGTAGGGAGGGAATGGTGTGGTGAAGTGTTTTCTGGCTCATATATCATTGATGTTGCCACTTGCCAAGGGGATGCAAGACATTACCCACCAAAGGAGAGTGATTTCTAACTCTGTGGTACTTAGCAGTGCCTGACCTTAGCCAGGTCCATGTAGTAGGATGGATAGTGTCCTACCTGCCCACATGGTCAGCACCCTTTGAATGCATGCATGCATCCATCCATCCATCATCCATCCATCATCCATCCATCCATCATCCATCCATCCATCCATCCATCCATCCATCCATCCATCCATCCATCCATCCATCCATCCATCCATCCATCCATCCATCCACCCATCCATCCATCCATCCATCCATCCCCCTACATGGTGACTCCCTGCTTCCAAACCAGAGAGTTCTGGTTCCTCAAGTTGCTTTGATCCCTCTTGAACCACTGGACCTAGCTTAAAGATGAATAAATTGATCTTTTAACATCACTTGACCTTAGCAGGAGAAGACTGCTTAGAGTGGTGTGGAAATATGGAAAAATAAAATGCTAGTAAGCTTTGGGGGCATCGACTTGGGGCATTGACTTGAGTCTTGATTCTTCTCCCAGTGTTTTTTTTTGGTCTGTGTCACACTGTGTCCCTTGAAAGAGGCCCTACTACCACCCCAGCCAGAGCAAGCCTAGAGGGTCACACTAGCTTTCTCCATTAGCAGAGCAACCCCTTGCTTTGGGTTTTTCCCCCCAGTTTTTGCTAAAAGTGGTAAAAACATATCTGCAGCTACCTGAGGTGGGATAGGGAAGTGCTGGGGCTGGGACACTTGTTTCTTGGCTTATGGATTCCTAGTTGGCCACCAAGGCTGGCCCAGAGCCAAAGCATGGACCAGCCCCTTTCTCTTTTGGACTAAGTTGAATTGAAATGTCTTTTCTACCTCTCCTTTGGTGCCTGTTTGCTTCCTGACTCTCTGGGATGGAGCTGGGGCATGAAAAGGAAGCGAGAGCCGTGGGGAATTTCCTCTACCTTCCTTCCGACCCTTTCTTTATTTATGTCTCTTTTGTATTGTTTCTACCTTTAGGGGATTTTTTTTTTTTTTTTTTTTTTTTTTACCTCTCTTGTCAAAACTGCTGTCAAACTTTTGCAGCCCTGTTTATGGGATAGATGCATTTTGTGGCTAACTGGATGCCTGGCCTCTAGCTTGGTGCAACCATCACTGAGGATTCAAGCCAGGAAAGTTGATAATACAGCTAAGGAGGTGGTTAGATGAAAACCCACTCTCTATCTTTTGCAAATGAGTTTTTTAGGTTTCCATGCCTGTGTATTTCTTCCTTACTTCTTCTTCTCCTGCAGATAGTGGTCAGTCTGTAGGAAATATGACTTATCTCCACAAAAGTTCTTCTCCTGCAGATGTAGTGAAGGTGTTTTCTCACAAGCCCAGTGTTACCTAAAATAAATCATGCTGCTAGTTTCGGTTAAACTCACGTCTTTAGTGTTTTCGGAATTGGCTGCTCCCAGCAGCTGGTGGGGAAACAGGAATAGAGACCAAGTTTCAGAAGGGGCTCTGCATATCTTTTCTCCTGGCTCTGCATTTCCCCTGAAGTTGTCAGGCAGTCCGACTAGATGACTGTTGTAGGTCCCTTCTAACTGAAAAGATAATTATTCTATTCTATTCTATTCTATTCTATTCTATTCTATTCTATTCTATTCTATTCTATTCTATTCTATTCTATTCTATTCTATTCTATTCTATTCTATTCTATTCTCTTCTATTATTCTATTCTATTCTATTCTATTCTATTCTATTCTATTCTATTCTATTCTATTCTATTCTATTCTATTCTATTCTATTCTATTCTATTCTATTCTATTCTATTCCTATTCTAATTCTACTCTACTCTACTCTACTCTACTCTATTCCCTGTTTGGATGGCTATGCAGAGCCCAGCTGTAGCCTCTCTACCTCCTCTAACCCCACCCTGCTCCAAGGCAGCTCCCATGGGACCCAAAACCTGTTGCAGCCTCCCCATCCCAAATCCCACTCCCCAGGTCCTGTCTCAAACATACCTGCACCATGCCAGGTCCTGACGTGGTGGGGTTAGATTTCCCCAGCAGTACGAATCTCAGAAACCTGAGCTTTCATCAGATCTGTGAAGAACAACCAGTGCTAATAAACAGGCTCTGTAAGAGAAGATGCTTTGCCGATATGCCAGCACAGAGGAACGAAGATCTCTGGAGAGTAGCATTAGGACATGGCTAAAAATCAAACTTTGTAAATGTGACTCCTGTTATGGAGGTTTGGAAATAATATAGAAGTGCTTCATGGGGCAAAAAAATAGCCCTCTTCTGCACAGTCATCAAATGGAAGAAAACTACACCCCCCCAATCAGGTTGTTGACCTGACTCCAGACAGATCCATGATGAAGTGACTCAGTGCAGCCCGTGGTTCCTGAAAAGTGAAAAATTGGTCGAACCTTTCCTGGGGTAAATGTGAGCATGACCCAGGGAGCTGGTGGTTACCATGTGCAATTATCTCCGTGGCAATTGATGAAGCTCCTGCAGTGGTTACAAAGAGAAAAATGGACCCAAGGTTTTATACCGGTATAGTAGTGAATACACCACATTTTAGCGTTGTAGGACATTGCAGAGCTCTCTGCTGTTGGAGAGCTCTCTTTCATGAGGCAAGCTGTCCTTCAGGTGCATCCCTCACTGAGAAACAGCTTCATAATTTGAAAATTTGAAGTATTCTTCAAAACCAAACTGCAGACCTTCTTATGTATGATAATGTGAGATAACTGAGCAATGGACAACCTTTTGTTTTGAGACTGAGCTTTTTTCCCACTCAGGTAATGTCAACTCTCAGTGAAATACTTCATGGATTTCCTCAAAAACAAAGAAGCCATGATAAAAGTAGCATTTCTATGCGACATGCGAATTCAGGGTAAAGACCATAGAGAAACACATGGGAATTTCATGGTTCAGGTGGTGGTGTTAGGGATTTGTGTGGTACATGTAGATGGAACCCTTTATTTTCCTGGCTTGCTTCTCTGTTTCCTAAATGCATCCTTTCTTTATTTTTTTTTCAAGATTTTCCTTTGAAAGTGGACAATGACTTTAAACATTTTTATGTGACTTTCTCAGGCTTTTCAAAATAGTAGAATGATGAACTAAACAAGCATGTGATTGTGGACTGATGATAAAAATTGCAATGGGCAGCTGAGCCAAACATCTTTAAAATTAAAATAATGCAGCTCTAAGTAAATGCTTTTTGTATTTACTTGCATACTCTGTCCAGTGTTGACCCATTCTTTCAGAGCAAGTAGAATAAATATTGTGTCCGCAGATCACCCAATTGGGAATTTCAGTGTGTACAAATTTTCATAGTATCATAGAACTGTTTGGGTAGGAAGGGACCTTTGAAGACCATCCAGTCCCAACCCCCCTGCCCCGGGCAGGGCCCCCTTCCCCCAGCCCAGGGGGCTCCCAGCCCCGTCCAACCTGGCCTTGAACCCTTCCAGGGAGGGGGCAGCCACAGCTGCTCTGGGCACCCTGGGCCGGTGCCCCATCACCTTCAATGGTTTGGTTCTGTGAATTTAAGCAAGAGTGCCTATTTTATGATGTTTTCATAGTAATCACCTGAGTTTGAGAGGGAAAAAAAAAAAAACAAAACAAAAAAAACAACAACATTGAAATGTGAACAATTAAAAAAACAAATCTTAAACATTCAAAATTAATATGACTTTTCAGAATGGTCAGAAGTGTCACCTTATTTATGTGAGACTTCTCACCACCTCACCACCGTCTCATGTGAGATCCTCATAACGGGGTTGGACAAAGAGCACTTGGTGCATCCCTTGGCTGCCCCCTTACAAGGGCTGGATCTACTTTATTTCAGGACTGACTTGCAGCACTTTGCATGGGAGCTGGTGCACCTCCCATCTGAGGGACACCTGCCTTCTGGGAACCAGCAGGTCTTGCCCTCCTGCTCACCCTCCAACCCATTTGAAGGCCTGTGAGTTTCATTGCATTTGTCGTGGAGGTTTCTCAGTCTTCCATCTCCTCCTCCTCCTCTGCTCTGCTTTCTGCTGGACACAGTGGTACCGGACTGTGGCACTTGATATGAGTTTATAGAGCATGAAACAAACCCTGAGCGAATGACTCATGGTTTCTGGCCAACGTTTATTTCTACTAATATCTGTTGTAGGTAGAAACCAAGGATGGTTTCCTCAGTTCAAAGTTTATCTTGGCATTTTTACTTTTCCCTAGGTGTCAAATCTCAGGATGATACAAAGACACCTCCTGAAAACCCAGGAGGAAATGGGCAGATCATCATGTCTGCAAACACCAGCAAGATAGAAGGGAACACTTCTACAAGCAGTACAGGAAACCCACCACCCACTTCTACCATGTCACCTTCTATAGTTCAGGAGACCACCTCTGAAAGCAAGCTGGGAAACACAGAGACCACCGCTGTGATACCATCCACCAGTGCTCAAGGGACCAACACTACAAGCAAGCTGGAAACCCCATCCTCTTCCCCTTCAACGTCACTTGCTGAAGTTCAAGAGTCCACCTCCACAAGCAACCCGGGAAACCCCCCACCTGACCCCATGACATCAGCCAGACCACCTCAGCAGGTCAGCTCTTCAAGTGGTTCTGGAGCCTCAACAGCCACCCCTGCTGCAGCCTCCACTGCTGCCCAGAAGACTATCCCTCCAGCCACCTTGGGAAACTTGACAGCCACCACTACTGCAAGTCCTGTGCTCACTCCTGTGAGCAGCCTTTCAGCCACCCCAGGAGGTTTAGGGACTGCTGTCTCATCCTCTGCCAGCATGGAAGCTCAGGCAAGCCAGCCTTCCGACCACTTGACCAGCACCACTGAGAGCACCGGAGTGCCAAGGAACGACCCTGGGCTCAAGGACAATTGTGTCTCTTCTACCACCTCTGCTGCCAAGCAGCCTCACCCTTCTTCCACTTCTCCAGACCAAGGACTGACCTATTCCACCGGATCTGGAAACATCAGCACTTCGGTTACCCCTTTTGATGGATCCATGTTCCCCACCACTAGTACAACATCTCTGCCTTTACCACCTGGCAGCATCAACAACGTCTCAAAGACAGCCACCACGCCGAGTCCTGAAGCAGGTACCAGAAGACAAGAACCTTGATTTCTCATGATGGGAGGCCCTTTTTGGTCTTTTCCTTTGGCTACCCTAAACACCTTCTGTCATTATGGGGTGCCATCAGTTTATCTCATTTTAGGACTTTCCAGTGCGGTTGTCTTCATGACAACTGGGTGTTTAGGTCCCTGTTGTCATCAGTGGAGATTGAGTCAATGCAGTTCATGAAATTCAAGGCATGAATCAGCTGGTAAAGTGTAGACATCAGCTTTCGGATGGACCAAACCGTGCCCAAAGCACCATCAACTGCAATGACTCGATCTTCAGTGACTGCAAAAGGGAGCCAGCTGCGATGACTTCAGAGGTGGAGACTGACATTGTAGAGTAGATGAAACAGATTCATGGCACCCCAAATGCTGGCTGTAGAAGATCCCTAGTATGGCTGACAGCTTAGTGAAGGCTGTCTGGGCATGCACAGAAAATAAGCTTTAGATGACTAAGGAGATTTTGTGGCTAAACTCTGAGTCTACAACCTCTAAAGAGTCGAAGCAGTTAGGGAGGATATTCATCATTGCTGCAGGGGATTTGGCTGCTGACTTCTGTCTAAGCAGCATTGTGAGTGTCCACGTGGTGTTTAGGCTCTTGCTGAACACCGTTAATATGTTTTCTCTAGACCTCTGGGTCTTTATGGAGTCATGTTTGTTCATAAGTGTCCTGCTGAGGCACAGTTTAGGCTCCCCATTGGAATTTTGCCTTGTAGCATTTAATGGGGAGTAATCACACTGTGGGAATGTGAGGGCTTCATGGAGCCTTCCAGACTTGGGTGGGATTGTGGGTTCAGCTCACATTTGGTTCTGAATAAAAGCTGTGATGACACTGAAGCCCTTCATTATCTTCCTCTGGAGAACGTTGCTCTTGACCTGATTTCCAGTTACCTCCAATACAGAAGCCACTCAAAAAACCATCTCCATTCCCCTCAGCCTTCCAGCTGTCAGCATCACTAAATGGCCCAAGGTCTTAATGCAAGACCATCTTCACTGGCTTCACCTAAATCATGTTTTGAGCATGTTAGCAGGCATGAGGAGGTGAAATGGGTATCTTCATGAAGGATGTTTCTTTCCCTTCCTGCTCCACAGAACTGTTCTCCATTAAAGGATGATACATGAAATTATGCTAGTTCAAGTTTGACCTCAATCATTGAGCATGAATAGGCCTAAAAACCCCTTTCTATTTAATAAATAGGTGAGAGAATGCAAGACAAACAGAAAGCTTTGACATTAATTCTCTCCTGAAGCCTTCAGAATGTGTCTGGGAGAGAAATAGTCCTCATCTTTTCTGTGGAAGATGCAGGAGTCCCAAAAGCAAACAGGCTGTGAACAGGATGTGGCGTTTTAATTCTCTTTGTCACCATTTAAGGAAAAGTTAGGAACCCAGGGATGGAGATCCATTCCTTCAAAAGGATTTGGGGAGGCAGGAGCCTGCTACACTTCTTGCACTACTCCCGTTGCACAAGAAACCGTAAGATGCTACAGACCTTAACAAAAGCATCTGAGGTGATCTGAGGTGAGCCCTTCTGGAATAGCAGGCGGGCAGGACACCCCAGGCTGTCTCCCATGATATCAGGCACTACTTCTAACCCCGGACTTCTTCCATAGCTGATGGAGATGCAGTCCACAGAGGTTATGACTCTTCAACCCCTCCTAACAGAGGTGGGTGCAGTTGTCAGTGAAATTGCAGAATAAGCTCCATTCACTGGGAGCTCCTGGGTCGCCAGCTCAGATAATCTACCTCTGTTGTAGAAACCCCCGTGGAAGACACCCCCAGATATGTGAAATGAGGGCCGTCCCATTTACCCCGCAGTACTCCTTCTTTAAATGACTATCCAGCTACCAACGCACAGCCATCATAGCCTTTGGGTTCATCTCTCCAGAGCAGCCTGATGGGTTTCAGCAGCAGAAAATAGAATCAACAATAATATTTTCTCTGTATCAAAGTTAATTAAAAAAAAAAAAAAAAAAAGCCTCTCCAATCTTTGACGCAATGATCTTCAAGGCAGGGTTAGAGCTAAAAACTTATTTTCAGTCGCTCACGGGCGGAGCTGTATCATCTGTATCCTCTATATTGTATCAGTGTCTGTCTGCTTGTTTTTTGGTGTATACTGGGGACCCAGACCAGAGAAGCTGTGACACCAGATCTACGTCAACCACACCTGCGAGTGCTGACCAGAGCCCTGCCAGTGCACAGCCATCAGCCCCAGCCCCAGGGGACCAGACAGTGAGCAGCAGTCCTGGCCACCAGCACCCTAACTCTTCTTTCCAAAATGAGGTAATGACACCCACGGGAAGGTGGGCACTTCGTAGCTGTGTCTGTTAATTTTTAGCTGGCATCCCGTGTACGTGCAAAGTCTGCAGCCCTTCTCCCTGCGCGTGTTTGTGTCAGAGGGATCTGCCTTAGGAAAACATGAGGCAGCAAAATATTTCTAGATCACAGAATCATAGAATGGTTTGGGTTAGAAGGTCGTCTAGTTTAAAGGTCAACTAGGCCAACTCCTTTCTCCTGTAGCTTTCCAGTGAAGATACATGGAGGATGGAAGTGATGGGCATTATGGTCTGGGTGCTGAACAGGGAAGAAGCGAAATTGGGGAAGAGAGAGGGAAGCATTATGGAGAGCAGAAGCTGCCTTGGGGTGGACTTGGACTTGATGAGAGGGCAAAGACCACAATTCAGCATAAGCTGCACATGGACGATATTAGCAGAAAATGATTCGGGAGCATAGGAGGTCTCAAAACACAAGCCAGGATAACTAAAAATCCCAGTGCTAGGAAGGAGGGAAGAGGATTCTGCTTCTAGCTGCTTGTCTTTTGTAGGGCGGAACTGCATTGTGGCCCACTGGCATGGATCTTCCTACTACCTGAGCCCATTCCTGCTTTACCCCATACTGCAAATCCTAAGCCTGGTTTGGGAAGTGCATTAGCAACCATGTCAGTTATCTGTGAAAAATCCTTTCCACATATAGAAGATTGAGTGAAGGGCTCCCTGTCTCATTTCCATAAAATGGATGAGAGCTTTGGCTGGGGGGTCTCCTGGCTTGGGGCGATCTTGTTGTATTGGTGACCAACTGTCCTTCCAACCTATATCAACGATTTGAGAGTTGCTTCTCTTCTGTCTTTCCAGGTCATCTGTAAAGACCAGGAGCAGCAAAATAGATGGCCTACCATGTATCTGAAAGAAGCTAAAACCTGTGTAAGTACCACCGTTTTGGACTTCTATGTAGGATTAGCAGCTGTGTTGCTGTTGGAGATCAGCTTTTAACCTGTGGTACTCTGAGCACGTGAGCCTACAGAGATGAGAGTAATTTCATCAAATTAAGATGCAACCGCTTTTGGGGTGTAAAATGGTAAATGCAAACCCACACTCAGCAGTAGCTTCCCGTGGGGGATGTGGCGGGAGAAGAGGCCCATGTGGTCTTCTTCAAGTAGAAGGACCAGCTGAGCCCACCCAGATTTCAGAAAAAGAGCAATGGGAAATTTTAGAGGGTAAAACTTTCCCTCTGCAAAGGCTAACGGGAAAGCTTCTTGCCTTTGCAGAGGGGTCAGAAGTTCATCACAAAACCCGAGCGTTCCTCCACAGCTGTTGGGTGCTTGGTGAGAACTTGCAACCTCACAGCTGGGGTGGGGTGGCATCTGCCTGCAGAGCCACTGGGAAGTGCAGCAGCCTGGAGTTTGAGACTCACTGTGCACCTCGCTGCTGAATCAGCTCTCGTAGAACCCTAAAGCGAGAGCAAAAAACTCCATTTCATTTGTTTCAGACCCTCTACGAGACCAGGGAGTAGTAAAATGCAGTGCCAAGGTTGGGGAAAGGCAAGTCCAATCTTAGACTGTACACCAAGACCCCTTCTTTTGGTGGGTGGGTACTGTCTGCTGGCTTTTCTGAGGGATACCCACCTTCAAAATGATTCCTGTGGAAACTATGAGTTTCCTGTAACTGGGAAGAGGCAATATACTGGTTAACTTCTAATTGGGCTGAAGTGTTAAGTTTATGACCAAGAGGAAGAGACAACACCACATGGCTGGTGAGATCTTGACAGAGTGATTGTATCTGAGCTGTGGGTAGGTCTCGGGGCGGGGGGGGGTTGGCATTGTAATGCTCTGGTTTCTGGATCTCAGCACTGCCAAGGCAGCGCAAGCATTGGGAAATCAGCACTTCAGGGACTTGCTCATAGCTCACGCTGCACAACATCAGAAGTAGCTGCCCAGGTCGATGAGCCTTTGCTGTCCCATTTGTAAAATGGACTGACCCGACTTCACCGTGCAGTGGTGAGACGCAAAGTGAAGCCACACTGTGCTCGTAAAACCCCTTGAGGTGCACGCTAAGATAAGCACGAGCGTTGCTACTGACCACAGCAGCTCTTTAAATTCCCTGTGGCTTGGTGGTGGCCCTACCTGGCAGCCCTGGAGAGGGCTTGGACCTCCCGATAGCACCCCCAGTGCTCCTAAGGAAGGGGAAGCGCCCGTCTGCTGACATCTCATGGTCATCACCTTCCTGGTTTGCCTGCTGCTGGGTGTAAATGCTGCTTGCCCGCACACCTGCAGAAATGATGATGTTCTTAGCCGTGCTGCCCGTAGCGCTGAGGATGACTCCGAGGAGGGACCCTATTACCATGATGCCTGTGGCCCAGATGCCACAGGAGGACAACCTCTCCTGAGAGCATCCCCTGCCCTGCTTTGTGCAACACGCCGTGGCCACGCTGGGAAGGCTTCTCGTCAAATTTTATATTGAATGTATAAAAACATTTCATCAGATTGACAAAAATCTAATTTTGGAGCCTAAAACACCCGGGCGACTGATGACCGTGCTGGTGTTGAATGCTTTCCTCCTCCTGGGCGCAAGCGTGAGCTGCGCAGGGCTGCTGCCCTCCCTGTGGCTTGGCTGGAGTTGTGCCAGGAGGCTTTTTTGGCAGCGGGGATGGCAAGACTGGGAAGTGCTGGTGCAGGGCGGCGCGCCGGCCAGCTGAGGGGCAGGTGGACATCACGGCTCGGCATCCTCCACCGCTCCTCTCTGCCCGCTCCGCTGGGCGATGGCGCGCTGGAGCTGGCGAGCCAGCGAGTCTGCCGCCCGGCTCCCCTTAGATTCCTCTGGGCACAATAACGAGCCCAAGCATTGTTAGTACAAAATGCCAGTTACGCCTCGAAACAGCTGCAGGAAGGCTGCAAGGGCGCATCCTCCCATAGCATCGCTCGCCTCGGCTGCCAAGGACACCTCCCACTCGCTTGCCGCTAACTTTCCACTCAGCATATTCCTGAAAATTGCAACGAATTTTATGCCTCACAAGCCGAGCAGATAACAGAGAAATGGCACTATCTGGTTTCCCTGCTTTGTAGGCCCGGTAAACAAGTGTCTAGCCAAATCTTGACAGCAAAGTTAAAAAATCCTTTGCATTTTGCAACCCGTGGGAAAACAGGAAAGTGTGCGCTATAAGGAGAAGTGTTCCAGAAACGGCTCCAATCCTGGCCCGCAAGAACGAGCCGGAGTCGGGGGGGCATTGTGCTAAAAGCTCAGCTCCAGGGAGAAGCTGGGGAAGCATCAAGGGCAACATGGGGGCCTGGTGGTGGGGTACGTGTCCAGATCACACGTGGCAGGGGAGAGGGCCACGCAGACTAGCCCACCCCGGGCATAGCTGGGCTTACGGGGCGGCACAGGCGATGCAGGGACCCCAGCAAAACAGTCGGGACTGAACCCAGGAATTGCAGGCACCACACCCCGCTGCACCTCAGTTCCGCTAGCTACAGTAAATTTAAAAATTAAAAAAAAAAAAAAAAAAAACACAAACAAACAAACAAACAAAAAAAACAACAAAAAAACCCACCCAACCCTCAAACTGTAAATCTTAAAAAGAAAAGCCAAATGGTTGGTACCACTTTGTGGATCAAAGGTATTGTATGGGCTGGTTGGTTCCCAGCATCCTTCCTCTTCGGGTGATGCTTTTAACCAGCACTGAACAGTTTTGTCCATGTTCCCCCACCCTCCCTTTTGCCCCTTCTCCTTCCTTTGATTACAGCAGGATCTTAATGAGTTTCTTAACAAGGTTTATTAGCTTGATGCCTTGTATTCCATAAGATGACTTTCCTAAGGTCCAGTTCACAAGTGTATCTTCAGTTAGGTTTTCGTTGTCTGACTGGGGTGCTCCAGCCTTGGGATGGGTGGGTGGACGGATGGACGGATGGATGGATGGACGGATGGACGGATGGACGGACGGACGGACGGATGGATGGATGGATGGATGGATGGATGGATGGATGGATGGATGGATGGATGGATGGATGGACGGACGGATGGACGGATGATGGACGGATGGATGGAAGGATGGATGGATGGATGGATGGATGGATGGATGGACGGATGGATGGATGGATGGATGATGGACAGATGGATGGATGGATGGATGGATGGATGGATGGATGGATGGATGGATGGATGGATGGATGGATGGATGGAAGGATGGACGGATGGATGGATGGATGGATGGATGCTCTGATCCTCATCCCAACCCCAAAATGCATTAGGTGAAGCACGAGTTGACAGAGTCAGAGGTGGCTGTTGTCCCCCAAGCTGTGGTTGAGCCACACAACGCTGTGGCCAGCTCCCACGGGTCCAGCCCTGGGATCCTCCAGCGTGCCCCTAACTGGGATGCGGATGTGCCCAGCGAGCTGAGTCAGAGGACGCTGGGGAGCACCAGAACCCACTCCAGCCAGAGGCTGTAAAAGCAACAACTGGACCACCCGGGCCAGCACCCAGGTGTCCGAGGGAATTTGCTGTGTGACACCCAACAGTCCGGGGACAGCAGGACAGTCCCTGGAGCAGGCGGAGGGTCCCCCTTACCGAGCAGGGTCATGGTCCCCCTCGCCTCATCCAGCTGGCGGGGGTGGTTTGTTGACTCAAGTGCTGTTACCTCATTCGGGGATGTTAGTTTTAGGTCCCCGCCAGTGTGGGAACCGGATTCGAGCTGCCCGGCAGCGCCTGTCAACTCCAGCCAAGGAATGCGAGCGGCTCCGGCAGCGGGAGGGGAGAGCTGCCGGGGCCGTGGCACCACCTCCGGGGCATCCCTGCGGGCCTTACCGTGCCCCTCTCCAACCCTGGGAAGGGTAAATCCCTCTAGTTCAGCCTCTAAAGGGGTTTAGGCACTGCTCACCGTCCGGCAGCAAAGTGCTTCTGTGCTCAGCTGCGTTTTAGCTTCATGTCCAATTTCCCTCCCCCACAAAAAAAAGCATTTTAAAGGTCTGTCTTTTTTTTTTTTTTTTTTTCCCCCCATGGGGTGGTAGGAGGAAAGGTGGGTTATTGAGGGCTGGGGGAAGGCAGAGCTGCGGCAGAACCTGGGGGAAGAGGATGCAGGGAGGCAGCAGAGAGGCTTTTCATGCCTCTGACGATCAGAAAATGCTGCGCAGGCAGGGATTGATAAACTGCAGGACATTTAAAGCGTAGGAGCACAACCCAGCGTCCGAAGATGATAAAAACATCGCCCCGACCAAGCCGTAACCCTCTCCTCCCTGTTCCACTGGGGATGAGCTTTCTGGAGGCTGCTGCCTTGCCGAGGTCTCGCCTTGCTGCCCCTGGGCTGCCCTGGCACAGGGCTGGGAGGAGGTTTCCCATCCAGCCCTTTTCCCGGGGATGCAGCCAGGATGCTGCGGACTCAACAGAGGGGCCTGGAGGATGTTTCTTCCCCGTGCAAAGCGAAAGGACAGGCGAGGGCCAGCAGCGGTTCCCTGGGACAACCGGGGCCTCACGATGCTGAGCTCACCCTCACGTCGTGCCCAGGCCAGGTCTTCCGCCCCAGCAAGTGCATCCTGTCTCCCGCCGCCGCTTCCCAAATATTTAGATAAGATGGGGTGAGATTAGGTGCCTTCCTCGGCCGGGTGGCTCCCGCCCTTGCAGTGGAGGAAGCGGGATGCATCGGCGTGAGCGGGACCCGGGGAGGACGGTGTTGCAGAGGGAGGGGAAGGTTTGGGGTGTTGGAGGAGGCAGGAGCAGAGCTTTTCCCAGGCAGGGCACGTGCTGCCTGCCACCTCGTTTCAGTCTGCCACGGAGGACTTTTCCACAAAGGACCTGTGCATGCAGAAGGGTGAGCAGCTCTACCTTAGTGAGCTCCCAGCTGCTACGAAGCATCGAGCAGAATCGAAAAAGCCTCAGGAAATGGGGACATGGGCGCCCCCCACCCCCCTCTACCATCCCTCCCGTGCTGTCCAGGCTAACCCTTCCGGGGATGCTCCAGTTTATCCGAAAGCAAAACACTTTCTCCTGCTTCTGCAGAGCCCCAGAGCCCTGGGGAAGCTCTCGGGAGAACAGGGATGTGTGTTGGTGGGGGCAGAGGGTAGAAATGCGGGTGGTGGGAGCACTGCAGAGGCCCGTGGGGGCAAAGGGGGGCCGCACAGCCCTGTCCCACTCCCACCGTGGCCCCTCAGCCTCCCCCCAGCCCAGTTTCCCTCTGGGACCTGCCATTCCCGTAACGCCAAAAGCTGCAGCTCTCAGATAAGGCCGGGGAGGAACGGCAGCCAAGAGCTCAGCTTCTCATAAAGAAACTACTTTTAAACTTTTCCTGTTCCCTGGGAGGGCCGGCGGTGCAGAGGGCTGGGGGAGGAGGGGGACGGCCACCGCATCCCTGGTGACGGGGCGGGATGCTCCTCGGCAGTCCCCAGGTAACAGAGGGTGGTGGCGGGGACACTGCTGACCCCTTGCTGTCCCTTGCAGGCTGAGTGGAGGATCGCCAGCAGCAAAGTCTCCTTCTTCGAGAGCTTCTGCTCGACGGGCCAGCACACTTTCAACGCCAGCAGGGAGACGTGCACGGTGACGCTGACCTCCTGCGAGCCCCGCTCCCAGTGCTGGGCCGTGTGGGTGGTTGTGCACCGTGAGTATGATCCCACCATCCTGCCTGGGATGGGGCTGGCATTGGGGACCCTGGCACAGGGATGCGGCCTGAGGCTTGGCTCAGGTCTGCTCAAGCTTGGACAAGGGGCTCCTTTCCTCGGGCTGCCACATCTCAGCGGGTCAGGAAAGGCACCAAGACCCCAGAAATCACCTTTGCTCCCCAGTGAATGCACCAGATCCTTCTCTCACCCATGAGTCAAGGCAGGGACCAGTCACCAGGAGGAAAAATTCCTCCCAAGTGGTTAAAATCCAGTGCCCAGTTCAAATCTTTCCCCAGGAGACCACAGAAGGGTGTTTCTTGCCCACGTCAGAGCCCTTTGGGGAAATTCAGCTCAGCTCAGGGCTCCCCAAATGTTGCTTTAGCACCAGGGTGCAGGGAGGATGGAGACCTCACGCTGCCCTAGCACGAGGGGGAGGAAGGACTGAGCTCCATCCTCCTCCTCCTCATCATCATCAGGGCAGGGGCTGAATCGCCTGTAAATCACCCACTGAAGCAAAGACCCCCACCACGGTGTGCGCAGCCCAGGGCTGGGGGATAGTGGGGGCTGGGGGTCGCTGGGACTGTCCCCTCTTTCCAGAAGAAGAGGTCCCGGCTCCTTGTCTGGCTGTGGAGGCACCTCCAAGGGTTGGCTTCATGCCCACACATCTCCATCCACCTCGTCTAGGAAAGGGGTCACCCCATCGACGGTGGCACAACCTGCCCCCCCAACCCTTGTGCTCATCGCATCCTCTTTCTTCCCCCAGTCCCTTTGGACCCTGAAAAAGTCCTCGAGAAGCTGCAGAAGGACAAGTTAGAGGAGGTAAGCGGGTCCCTGAGCACAGTGTGGCTTCCCCCGTGGCTGTCCCCCAAGGTGGGTGGCACGGGAAGCCCTCCTCGGGGCCTGACCCGTCCCTTCCGTGGCAGCTCGGCATCGTCAACATCACCTACAACGAAACGAAGAGGGAGATAATAATCAACGACGAGTTCAGCACGCCCCTGATCATCACCATCATCACCCTGGCCGGCTCCCTGCTGCTGATCACGGCCATCTACGGCTGCTGCCACCAGCGCTTCTCCCAAAAGAAGGACCAGGTAAGGTGGGAAGGGGGTGGGACAAGTACCCTGAGAGTTTTTTGTCCCAGAGGCATCTTCAGGAGACGAAGATCAGCACCGTTGCCATCTCTGCTGGCGGAGACATCCTGGCTTGCCCAGCTGGCACCACCCTTGAGTGTCGTTCGAGGGGTGCCCCAAGTGTTGCGGATGCTCCGGAGAGGCAGGAGCTGCCCTTTGGGAATGTTGGGGGGGGGGGGGGGGGGAGGCAGCCAGGATGAAAACCAGGGAAATGAGGGGTGGGCAGGGGAGTGTACAGCGACAAGCAGCACCCATCCCCACTGCCACCCAGGGCACGGGGCAGCTGAGCAGCATCCTGGGGTCAGGATCTTGACAAGTAAGGCTTTCTCAACCCAAAACTCCCTTTGAAACCCGTCTATATCCCCACTTCCCCCCCCCCCAAAAAAAAAAAAAATTTCTTAAAATACTTTTATGAGTAAGGGAGCAGGGTTGGGTGCCCAGCATCACCCCGGTGCCTTCCCAGGGGGTGCCAGGGGCTGCGGGGAGCCCACGGCTTCTCACAGGGCAGGAAGACAGCAGCTGCAGGAGGGAACTGATGCCGTACGCCGCACGGCTCAGCCTTCAGGAGAGCTGGGCCAGGGCCAAATTTCAGAGCAGCAGCAGCAGGATTTAAGGCAGAACAGGCATTGGGGGGGAAAAAAAAAAAAAAAAAAAAATTATCTCGGGAAGCAATTCTGGGTGATTTTAGCGTAGCATCCACCTGCAAGAACTGGCCGTTCCCACGCCCTGCGGCACCGATGGGGAGAGCTCTGCCACGTACCCGAGGTTTACATCAGCCCCTGCTGCTCTTGCTGAGGACTTAGCTCCAGAGGAGAGACAGCAATAGAAAGGGGGAAGAAAGAAAACGAGGATAAATAACACAATTAGGGTAAAACACTCTCTCGATGGAGAAGCAAACCCCTGCATCCTACTTCACATCGTTTCCTCCCAAAGCTGTTCACCCTTCTGGGGGGGGGGGGGGGGGGGGGAGTCCCAACCTCTGCCCCGCAGGCCAGGAGCTGCGTGAAGGTGAGGGATAAAGCAGCCTTTGCTTTAAATGTTTGCTGTCTAACAGAGACAAACATAGGAGGCAGGGAAGAGCAAACCAAGGCTTGATTTTTCAGGAGTGGAGGAGGTGGGGGGGAAGATGCAAGACCTCGATAGATATTTGTCCCCTCTGATCCCCTTGGAGCTTACAGGGTTTAGCAGCCAGGCCATCCCTCAGCTGAAATCTCCCTAGTCAGGGTGAAAAATATCCCAGCAGGGACAGGGAGAAGCGTAACACTTGTGCCCTGTATTGTTCAGAAAACAGATAGAAATAAGGCATTTTTAGTGATGGGAATGCGTGTCCCTCAAGCAAGATGGTGCAGAGGAAGAGGTACCAGCCCTGGCTGGATGCTCTGGAGGTAAATACCCACCAGCCACAGGGTAAGGCAGCAAAACCAAAGCAAGGGATGCCAGTTCTTCAGTACAGCTCTTGCTCAGAGCATGGAAAAATATCTTTTTTTTCAAGCAGTTGCGATAGAGTTTTAGAAAAATCAAACTCATTTCTCCTTTCTGGATTTGCATTTGGGTGGTTTCGTTTGTTTTCCTCCTGCTTCTTTTCCAAAAATGACTTGAAAGTTGTTTTGTTTTGTTTTGGTTTTTTTTTTTTTTATTATTTTTATTTTTCTCCAACTTTCCCTCCCCCCTCTCCCCTTTTAAACCCTGCTCTTGTTTTACCTTGGAAATAACCAGCACATCCACCCTGATCTCCCCGGGTTTGATGATGGACATGTGGCCCTGATCTTTAATGTGAGTTCCAACCCAGGGATCGGACGGGCGGGCGCCGCATCCATAACACCCCCAGCTCTCACTCCCCCCCCCCCGTGCTTGGTAGGGTTCAGTAGCTTTTAACAGGACTAAAGCCTACTAAAGCCCAGCTTTAAAGACCTCTTCCCCTTGCTGCACGGCGGGGGGGGGGTGGGGGTGCCTTGCCACAGCGGGAAAAAGCGCTGCCCGAGCATCCATCCGTCTGGGGGTTGTAGCAGCAACAACCCCCCCCGGGGTGAAACAGCCCCTGGGAGAGCCCAGGCGCCTCCGCTGCTTTTGAGCATCCCTCCTCCCCTGCCCACAGCCCCCCCCCCACCCCGTGCCACCCACCCAGGGAACCCCCAGAAGCACCTTTGCAGCCCCCCTGCTAGCGGTTTTTGCTTCTCCATCCCTTTCCTCCTCTGTGGATTCCCTCCCACGCCTGCCTCCTGACATTTATTAGGAGCGCCAGAGTAGATCAAGCTGTAAATCCAGGCAGATTTTAATAGAGGTGCCCAGCAAGACCTGCGTTCCCCAAAAACTGCAGCTCCCTGGTGAATCCCTCGGGGTCAGGACAGGGATGAAGGAGCCAGAATGGTGAACGCAAAATTAAGAGGGGCTGGGGGGTCTGCCAGGGGATGAGAGCCTGGTGTGCCAAAGGAGAGGGATGACACAGTGCCCGATTCACCGTTCCTTGCCTGGTTTCCACCAAGAGCTGCAGAATGAGGAGGGATGATGGTTATGGAGGAGCAAATGGGGGGGTGGGGGTGGGGTGGGGTGGGGAGGGCAGCATCTGCAGGGTGGGATCTGCCCACCGGTTAAGGATGATGATAATAATAATAATAATAATAATAATAATAATAATAATAATAATAATAATAATAATAATAATAATAATAATGATAATGATAATAATAATAATAATAATAATGCAGCTTAAAAGGGACGGGGAGGGCAGAAAGGTGAGGGGAAGAACAGAGTCAAGTTCACGAGACAGGAGCTGGGAGGAAGGGATGAGGTGAGGCAGGGATGCTCAGCCTCTTCCCAGGGTCCCGGGGTCGGGGGGACACACCAAGTCAGGGCCAGGCTGAATTTGGCAGCTGCTCCTGGAGGTTTTCCACGTCTCTGGCTGCTCTTTCCTCCCTCCCACCATTAGCAGAGTCTCTCTCTTGCCCTGCTATCCCCTCGCGGCGCTGGCGCTGTCTGCGGCCCCCAGCCTCACTGTGAAAGTCTCTAGGTGTAGTTATACACATCTATAGCGGGCAGCGGCCGCAGCTGGCTGGGAGGTGAAGGGCCTGAGGTGTCACACACGGCACGGCCAGGCTGTTTTTCATGGGGCTTTCTGGGTTTTCTTCCCTCGCAGCAGCGCCTGACCGAGGAGCTGCAGACAATGGAGAATGGCTACCACGATAACCCCACACTGGAGGTGATGGAGACCTCCTCTGAAATGCAGGAGAAGAAGGTGAACCTCAACGGTGAGCTGGGGGACAGCTGGATCGTTCCTCTCGACACCCTCATGAAGGAGGACCTGGAGGAAGAGGAGGACACGCATTTATAGGATACAAAACTATCAAGCAAAAAAACGACGACCACCCCCTGAAAAAGAACCCACATTATCCCCACACACACGCGCACACAACTCCAAAACAAGGCAAAATTCCCAACAAACCCCGGAAAATCCCTTGATGAACTAATCATGGCCCTTCATGCCACCACGTGGGGTGCAGGATGGAAGAGGAAGGGACATGAGAAGACACCTCTGGGGTGCATCGTCAACACAAGCCACCGTGGTGGCTGCATCTGGACGAGCATCTTCCATCCCCCGCGGGCTCTCAGCAGGACCTACCACGCCAGGCCTGACCAACCGTGGGTGAAGGGGGTGGCTTTAGCTCCAGAAGAGCTGCTGGCGTCTCCCCTGAGCGCGTCCCCTCCCGTCCTGCGGCCGACCACGCCAACCGCATCCTCCAGCTATCGAGCCACTCGAAAACTAAAAAGAAATACACGTAAATAGGACGGGAGAAGGAGCGCAACTCCCAAACAGCAAACTGGCGTCGGGCAATTAGAGCTAGAAAAATCCTCTGGCCCACACAGTTTAGTCATTGCTCTGCCCTCCCTGACACGAAACGCCCAGGTATTGAGCAGAAAAAAAGCCGGAACAGCCTGTTCCTTTTTTTAATCCCGTCTCCATCCTCTCGCCGCAAACTGCCGGCTAAAACGCACAAGAGCCCCGCGCCGTGGCACAGGCACACGGAGGCATCCAGACCCGGATGGGACGGATGCAGCAGTGCCGAGCGGTGCTCAGTCCCACGCCCCTGCCAGCTGCGGGACCCGTCGGGTCAGAGAGCGGGAGAGGTGCAGCAGCTTCTTGGACTGATGCGAAGGGGAGGGAGAGGAAAATTGAGTCACGGTCCTCGAGCTCATTCCTCCTAGGAAGGGTTTAGTGAGACCAGGAGAGATGCCCGGTCGCTAGCCCAGACACGAGGTTGGGGGGTTTCGTGGTGCAGAAACCCAGCTCCAGCGCAGGCCAGCTCTGTTGCTGCTTTTCCTTTACAGGAGCGTTGATTGCCTTTCGGTAATTACGCGGCAGCATCTCACAGCCTACATCCATCCTTCCCCGAGACCATGGGTTACGTGCACCGTGACCGTTTCTGATTTTTGTGGTCACGTTCTCCTGTGTGAGCAGCAGGAGAGATAAAAGAGGGACAGAAGCAGGAGCTGGGTAGCTTGGTGATATTCAGGGTTTTCCATCGGTACAGCCCGCGGCGTTTCCTCCCCACGAGGTTTATAAGCTCAGTCCACACTCTCAAGCTCTTCTTCAAAAGCCAGTAAAGTAACAGACCTGCAAAGAAATTTTCAGCTCAGAAGCGAAGCTGGGACTGAGCTTTGTCCTGCAGCCTTTGGTCTCTTGTCCAGGTCTCCCTCTTTAGAGAGGACAAGAAAAACATACAGGAGCAGAAAGTGGTTGAACTGAGGCCATTCCTGGTTTTCTACTCCCTATCACAGCTCCAAAAGGATGGGGAGGGTTTCACACCTTCGCTCTGGCTTTGGTGAAGCAGCTCAGCCCCGGCAGAGGCGGGGGGTCAGAGCAGGGCTCCATCCTCCAGCACGTGGGGAAGAGGAGAGGGCCAGAAGGTCACTTGGGCAAGTGCATCTCCCAGCACCAGAGGATGGTCCCAAGCCCTCGGCAAGCCAGAGGAGCTGCAGAGGAAGAGCGATGCCCAAGCACAGCCCTTCCTCCTCCCCCTGCTTGCCATAAACCCTGTACCCACCAACCCACGGTGGGGTGATTTCCTTTGGGCTCTGCCACCGGGTCAACACGATGGGGAGCCGCTCCCCACGGCTGCCCTTGACAAGGGGAGAAGCAGAGCTGAGCAGTGGAAAGCTTGGAGAAACCCAGGTCGGGTCAGTCCTGGTGGAGTTTGCACGAAGGAGAGGGTGGGGGGTGGTTTGCTCAGCCCCAGGACATCAGCTGGCCGAAGATACATCTCAAAGGGACTGACTCTTCTCCCTTCTCTCCTGCACCAAAGGGCAGATTTTGAAGTGTTCAAACCTATATATTTTTGTATGTAAATATTCCTGCTATTCATTAGCAATGTATTCAGCACACTTCGCTTACCTGTGCACTGCACTATGGGGAAATGATTTTGGAAGGGGGAAGGGGGGTGAATTTAAAACAAAAAAAAAAAAACAAACAAACAAACAAAAAAAAAACAAAACAAAACAAAAAAAGAAAAAAAAAAAAAGAGAAGAAAAAGCTAAAGGCCAGGCTGGTAGGGAATCAAAATTCGAGACAAAGCAGGAAAACACCTCCTGCCCAGATAACCCCGTGCCATGGCTTTGTCCCCACTCCAGCAGCATCAAGTTCAGCTCTTTAACATCGCAGCGAGGCTCAAAGGACCAGTCTCGGCATTTGCAACTGTTTTTGTGAGCGCCTTCGCTTCCCAGCTGCCCCGAGAGATGATCAGCAGGTCGGTGACCTCCCGTTTCTTTCCACAGAAAATAAATGCTGTGAAAACACGGGGCAGCAGCGAGGCTTTGGCTGCCGAGGCTGCTGTTGCCGTAAGGACACCCCTGGCAGAGCATCTCCAGACAGTCGGGTTTGGGCATGTGCCTAAAGATCCCCCTTCCCAGCCAAGAGATGCCAAAGTGCTTTAATGAATCAGGTCCAAAGACTTTCCAAGAGAACCCTACAAAGGCTTGAGATCAAGCAACCTTAAATCTTTCCGAGCAGAGACCAGTGAAGATACTAACTGCTCAGCAAGTGCTTATAGTGATTTATATTTGAATAGGAATTGTACATTTATTTATTTTTCCAGACACCATATTTTTAAACCACTAATATTTTATAGTAGATCTTCCTTCCCCTATTTAAAGAACTATTTCCATGAGAAAAACAGTACGTTTTTTATGTTGAGAACATTCTTTCTGCAAAAAAAAAAAAAAAAAAAAAAAAAAAAAATCAGGTAGGAAATGCAGTGATGAGCATCTTTGGCCTTAATCCTTCCCTTCATAGACTGTAGCCATAATTGTTAGACAAAAAACAATTTAAAAAAAAAAAAAAATCTACCCAGGCATTTCCACCCTCCCCGACCCCCCCTCCCTTTCCGGCACATCCTCTTCTCCCCCCACAAACCAGCTTTAACATCTGACATGTTGTACAAAGAGATTATTGCTCTTACCTTTTGGTGAGAGTTTCCACAAGCAGCTCAGATGTCCTTGCAAGAGACTTTTCTATTTTCAGATTCACAAGGAACGTGTAAATACTTTAGAACCATTTCTCTCCCGCTCACAGTGCCACGACCCAACTGCCCAGGTGGATACTGTGACCGTTGCCTACAGAAGACGTACAGCAGAAAACATAAATCCATAAGGGACTGCAGAAGGAGAACCGACTCCCCACGGCGGCTTCCCGCTGAACCTTGCACATATACTAGAGCTCTTACGTACTGTATAGCAGCATCTCTCACGGGGACAGGAGTCTGATTTACACTGGAATTTACTGAGGAACTGGATTGTAGAGATTATTCTTGCGTTTTCCTACAAATATATTTTGAAAGCATCATGTATTTCTGTCAATAAACGTTCTTATGTAAAAGATGTAGTTTCTTGGCCGAGTGAAAAGGGGTGAGCTTGTGATCAGGAGCCACAACTGTTCTGTAGATGTTAAAACTATAAATGGTTTGGGCTTATTTGGAAACCCAGCCCGGGCTTTGCATGGGCCTGCTAGCAAGAACATGTAAAATTATTGGAGAAGTAGGAGTAAATCCAACTCAGACTTTCAGAGGTAGCCAGCCAGGGAGGAGCTTGTCTTTGTCCCGTGCAAAAAAAAGTAGGATAGTGGTGAAAAAAGTTCCCTTAATTAAAAAAAAAAACCAACAACAACAACAACAACAAAAAAAAAAAAAAACCAAAAAAAAAACAACCAACCAAACAAACAAAAAAATACAAAACAAACAAACGAAAAAAAAAAAACAAAAAAAACCAAAAAAACAAAAACCAAAACAGAGTGGTGGGATGCTCAGTCGATGTGGGCAAGAGCAGCCCCACCAATTTGAACTGTTGGTGGCTTCAGGCTGACGTTGGCAGGAAGGGAGCTGGGGAGGGAGCTTGCCCTTATTTCTGAATTTCGTCCTAACCCAGCCCTGGCCTGCGACCTCCCCTGGCACTTCGGCCAGGCTGCAGAGGAGGGAATCAAACCTCACGCCCCGAAGCTGAAGCAGCCTAAGGAAGGAGGGCTGCCAAGCAAGGGCAACAGCAGGGGCGGCGGCAGCGTGGGCAGTTCAGCATCTCCATATCCCTTCAAGTGCCCAAAATAAAACATTGTGTTCCAGGTTAAGTTTCCAATTATGCAAAGGAGGGGCAGGGGGGGGGGAGGGGGGAAGGAGAAAAAAAAGAGAAAAAAAAAAAAGAGGAAAAAAAAAAAAGAGAAAAAAAAAAAGAGAAAAAAAAAGGAGAAAAAAAAAGAGAAAAAAAAAAAGAGAAAAGAAAAAAAAAGAGAAAAAAAGAGAAAAAAAAAGAGAAAAAAAAGAAAAAAAGAGAAAAAAAGAGAAAAAAAAAGAAAAAAAAAAGAAAAAAGAGGAAAAAAGAGAAAAAAGAGAAAAAGAAAAAAAGAGAAAGTAAAAAGAAAAAAGAGGAAAAAAGAGGAAGAGAGCAAAAAGAGAGCAAAAAGAGAGCAAAAAGAGAGCAAAAAGAGAGCAAAAAGAGAGCAAAAAGAGAGCAAAAAGAGAGCAAAAAGAGAGCAAAAAGAGAGCAAAAAGAGAGCAAAAAGAGAGCAAAAAGAGAGCAAAAAGAGAGCAAAAAGAGAGCAAAAAGAGAGCAAAAAGAGAGCAAAAAGAGAGCAAAAAGAGAGCAAAAAGAGAGCAAAAAAAAAAGGACTTGGTTTGATTCGAATATTAGAAGTGGGTGGGTTACATCAGCTTATGTTTTACCTCTGTGTTCCTCCCCAATAAAAGTTCTTGCAACTGCTAAGCACACGATGGATCTATGCGATACCGACCCAGCCCAGCCCTGATTTCAGGGAACAGGCTATTTTCTCAGCTGCTGTGCAGTGCAGAGGGACAGGGCAGGCTCCTCGGGCAGGAGCAGCGCCGGCTTCACAATTTCTGCATCACTACCAGACGTTCTTCCATTCTCAGAAGCAAGCGATGTTAGAACGAACAGATCTTACATAAACACCCTTGCTAGCATATACATTTTTATTAAGAAAAAAAATGAACAAAATACATTCTCTCCTTATGTACATTACATACAACATAACTACATTTGTAGATATTCCTCATAGCACTCATTCATTTATGTACAGCATGGGGCTTACATATCAACCCAGAAATTATCAGAGATGATTTATGCCAAGGAAGAAAATTAACACTCCAGGCTGAATAAAGACCATCCATTTATCTGTAAAGAAAAGGGCAGGATGGGGAATCATCAGAGACCGTGGGCTCCAACATAGGACTAGTCAGTATTTGACTTGCCTATTAAAACACACACATAGTTCACAGCGTCCGTCACCCCACGGATGCTCCTTCCCAGCCCGGGGCTGTCCCACCCCTTGGTTCAGCTCTCCTGTGCTCAGGGGTCCGAGACGACAACGGCAGGACAGACACCGAAAGGAATTCAGACAGACACCGGGGTTGCTGTAGAGGTGCAAAATGCTTCAGGTCGGATGCCAGAACGGGAAAAAAAAAATGGCCAGATTGTGGGCAGGGAGTGGACACTCGCAACTCCAAGCACTGCGTAAGGATAATGAGCTTTTTGGGGACCACACAAGGGTGCAGAGGATGAGACAATGAACACTGAAGGTCCAGACAAACAAACCGTCACACAGGATCGCACTAAGAGGCAACAGCTCAAAGAAACAGCTTGAAAAAGCACCCCTAACCCAGCAATGGTGTCCAGCCAGCCAGCTTATCTACCCGCGTTTAACCCCAAGCTACCCAGATCCTGTCCACGCTATCAACTCATCTAAGAGAGAGGCTTACTGCAGCAGTTTCAAGGTACAATGTTCAAAAGGAAAATGTTTACCGAGGCTCAACACTTCTAAAAATGAGGCACGTGGCGTCTCAGCATCCAAACGCACAAGATGCCCGTTGCCACCAAGCCCACAAGGATGGGAATGTCATCTCCCATTAACTCAGAATGAAACCAACGGGCTTTAATTCTCCGCCCCGAGGCAAAGTGGTCTGCGAGGTCGGGGCCTCCAAGACTCCCATAAATGCATTTTTTTGACTAATTAAGTTCCTTTTCTCTGGCTTACGGTCTCCCCACCATCCCCTCATTTCCTGCTGTGGAGGAGGGTATGCTGGAAGACACAGCAGAAAATACAGCTTCAGTAAATAGTAACAGCTACTAATAACCAGGGCTTTGTTTTCTTTTCCACTACCCAGCCCAAGCAGCTTCTGAAGTGAAAAGTGTTTTGCACATCAAAATATCGACGGGAGGGAGGGAGGGTAGGAAGGATAGGAATGATGAGGGAGAGATGAAGGCAATATTCAGCCTCCAATGCTAGTTTGCCTCCCCAATTACCACGGCAGGCAAGAGGGGAAGACAAGCCAGTGGCACAAGTGATCTCCTCCACGGGTAGATAAAAGGCTTCTGCAGCACAAGAGTTGTCTGCACCGCCCAGGGAAGGAGAACAGGCTGTCACCTTCTGAGCAGCACGTGTTGCTGCAGGGTAAGCAGAGGTAGGAGGATCAGCCGCTGTTCAGACGGGACTATTTGCAGGAAAGTCATTGACTAAGGAACCACAGGTTGGTAAGAGTCATTTTCCCCTTTTAAGAGCCAAGTTTTTTGTCAAAACCTCAGAAAAAAACCAAAAACAAAAACAAAAAACAAAAACACTTTTCAGCCTCGAAGTGGCTTCAATGAACAGACCCTGTTAACACGCTGCAGCAATTTTCTATTCAGTGAAACATGAAGTAATTGATCGAATCCCTTGGGCAGCTAGTAACAAAGTTGGGATTTTAAAGTCTATTTTCTCCTCACTGGGGAGAAAAAATTGTCCTTTGGTATTTGGGATGTAGAGAAGACTGCAACCACTGGAGCCACTGTTGTGGTCTAGCCTCCCCACCATCATATTAATTACAAAGCAGCTAATCTCCCTTAATTTCACTGGCAACTTTCATTGCAAAGCTTAGAATATTTTTAGGTTTTGACAATCTCTTAAAACTGCCAGACCTGGCCTGACTGTGCTATACAACCTCCAGTATGTTTGAATGGTGTTAAGCCCAGCTGGCTTCCTTACAATCGCTACAGAGGGACTGGGGAAAAAAGAAAAAAGAAAACAAACAAACAAACCAACCAACCAGTATTAGTCTCTCTGGTGTCTTTGGGGTGGAGAGGGCCAAAGCTCAAGGTGAAGCTCCAGGACAAGAAGATCCTGGTACTGCATCACTTCTGTTTGAAACAGAGCCAGAGAATCCATCTTGCCTAAAAAAAACTAAGCTCCAAACAGCAGACCTAGCTGTTAAGGGAGTCTTCAAAGTCCTTCCACAAACAACAGATCACATTTTAATACCATGCTCACATGAGCCACCACTACATTATTCGCATTTCCCTTTCCATTCCCCCTGCCCTGCCACACAGCCGAAATAAACCCAACACCCCAACTACTAGCTGTTTGCCTCCGCTGCTGAAAGATTTAGGATGATGAAAGCAAGCGCCAGAAAGCTAGGACAACTTGAGGGTTGGTACCATCACCTTTTTCTTCTGTCAAAGAGCTATCACACCCCTGGGGCCACGCAAAATAAACCCTGCTGAGACAGGAGGGAAGGCTTATCGCAGCGCCCGGCACCGGGTCACAGAGGGGCACAAGTAAATAGGTGAACGCTGCAGCGTTACGCTGACAGCACACCGTGCTGCCGCTGGGAAATCAGCTCTGCTTCCCCGTCCAGACCCCACAGAGGAACAGCCCCCGGGGAGAACGATGTGAATGACAAGGATCCCTCCCTATTTCGGAGGTAGTGAGGAGTTTTTCAAAGGAAGCAACAAGAGTGGGATGACGTGACATGGAGAAACTGATGCCTCAATAACCACCGCACCACTCCAACGTTTAACTCTTCAGCAGGGACTCCCGTTAAACTTTGAGAAGTCTGAAGGCACAGCATTTTAATAGCAGTGAACACAGGGAAAGAAAAATTCAGAGTAAATGGGGGAATACCCAAGGGACCATGCTTTGATCATCATGCTGGACAGCATATATGCTAGTGATAGATTTTACTTTGAAATTAGCAGCAAACTCAAAAATCTAACCTGCTGGCAGTGCCGGTTTCGAGCTATTCGCTCGCGCCACTCTTCCCAGGAATGAGCTGCAACGCCACGCTAGAGCTGAGCAGAGTCAACTGATTGCTGACAGCACTCAAATACTTACAGTCTGCAGGTCGTCAGTAAAAGCTGCGCTGACTTGCAGCCAACAGCTGGAAGCCAAGGCAGCGTGTACCTCTGCCTGCACCAAGTATAAATGAAGATTTCAGGGTACAGCAGCGATACACTGACAGCAGCTTAAGCAAGTCTGGAGTTGTAGGGATTCAGAAGCAGAGCACTGAATTTGGATCACAGTAAGTATCCGGAGTTCACCGCCAACAAATCAAGTTCAGG